CTACAAAAGTTATTTAGGTAAGAGCAGTGAGTGATTTTCTCTTTGTCTTTTGTTCATGGCCCCAAATATTGCAAGCTGTAGCGATATGCATTTTGCGATATGTACATCTGCGATATTTCGATAATTTCGATATATTGCACAGCCCTACTGTGGGATGCCATTGTCACAGAAAAAACAACAGCACTTTTTTTATGTCTAGTGGTTATACACTTACTTGGAGATTGTGGTGGTTGTAATGGAGAATTTGAGCTTTGGTCGTCTGTGTTCTCTAAGCTTTTGTCTTTCTGTGTCTTAGGGCTGAACCCTTTCAAACTCCTTCTGAATGACTTCAAGACTCCAAGGCTCTTCTCTTTGACTGGACTTTCCATCTGTTCTCCACCATTTTTCAAACCCTTGGTTGCATCCTCATCCCATTCTGATGGGTCATTAACCTCATTTCCACCATCTACTTCTTCTTTTGTAGTTTCTGCCATTTGACCATCCATCAGTCGGATCAAGCCTGCAGAAAATGCATCAAGAACTTTAAGAAAAGTTGAATTATTGTAACAAAACCACAACAGAAGGTTTGACTGTGTTGACTCGAGTGTAAGAATTCAACTGTTGAATCTATCGGCAGGTACATCATGATCTCTGGAGTTTTTGTTTACTGACAACATGTCATTTTTTTCACAGGGGTGTAGAAGGCATACATTGTCATAACAACAAAGACGTGAACTCATATTAATACACTAAACAGCCAAAAAAAACTTAATGAGTAATGCACTACTTAGTTCTACTGCAGATCTCTAAACAATTAGGCTATACGCCTCACATACCATAAATACCATGATACCATGTAAATTATCATGTGAAATCTCCTTCAGACTGTGCGAGAAGCTCAATTTCTTCAATCACAAACAAGAGTGATGATAACAATGATAACTTTCTCATTCTGCCTGAGAAAAATTACTTTCATTGTTTCAATTTAAAATTTAAAGTAAAGTCATTTCACAATACTGGTCATGACATTCTTAAGTGGCCTACATGTCATTACACTGCACTACACGATAGTTAATAGACTGACTGTATGGTACACTGCTATTAAAACACATGTATCGCTGTATACGTTAATGATACACGTATAACTTTCACACGCTGTCCCACTTTAAATGATTATGTAACATTTTCAAAATAAAATGCATAAAATAAAATAAAATGGCTAAATGTTGTACCTCGGGTTTCTTACACCAAAAGATGACAATTTGGAAGAAGTCTCTGAGTTATGAAGAAAATATCTCCTTTATAACACCGAAAGCAACATCATAGTGGCTAACTATGGTATTTTGAGGAAATTGCTCCTTGATAAATGTTTGTAAGGGACTGACTAAACATGACCTCAAAGACATTCGGTTAAAATGACACATTACATTAATGTAACACTAGTTTGAAGCTTCAAACCCATTAATTTATACTCTTTGAAGCTGAAATCTGTGTTATTAGCACAGCCAATCCGGGATTAAAGGTTGCGGAGTAGACGTATTGTGAAGGTCAGTCACTTCTAACACGGTTAGTCAGTTATAACACGTTTAAACACAAACGTAGCTTAAATAATAGCATTAAAATTATTTTATACATGTTTGTTAATTGTAAACATCGCACGGTAAATCGAAGCCCGCCCCTCACTCACCTGAGATCCGAGTTCCTTGTCAAAGTCTGGCGCTGGCAATTATCCTTCACTTGTCACAAAAAAGCAATTGCAAAACTAACAGCTGACAAACGCGCTGCACCGACAGGTTCAACCGCAATAATAAACAAATCAATTCCCAGTAAATGCAGAGTTGCGAAAAACCCTGCTTCTCACAACAGAGCTTCTGGGATTCACCTTGAAACGCCACTGGATAGGTGCATGGGGCGCGCTGCAACAGCAGCTAGCTTCAGATTTTAGTTTCAGATTCAATACAGTTCAGTTCTAAACAGAGAATCACTGTATTCACTGACTTGTACTTGTAAGAGTCAGTGTTTGAAATATGATTACACTTCACTTTCAGATTCCCAAAAATACAATTGTGCCTACCACTGAGAAAAAAAGTGGTTATGCAAAGCATTATGTGTTTCGTTTATGAGCACAGTAGCATATTCACAAAACAGCAAGTCCTGTGTCGGTTTTTTTTTACAAATGGTTAGTAGGCCTGTATAAAAATCTAAAGGATTTGTTTTATTATTATTGAAATACTATTTTATTATGCAAACTAATTAAGTGACATCTAGTAAGTTGTTAAAATAAATACAAAAATTATTAACATAGTGCATGGGGACTATGTTAATGGTAGCCTACTTTCTGTCAATTTGTAACTAAATGGATGTGTAAACATTAATGTTAGATTTTGTCAGGCATGACGGGAATGAGAGGGAACAGGAATACTGCAGCAATGGAAAGTTTATTGAACCAATGGCAAGATCAACACAAGGCAGGTGAGTAATGACTTGGATGACAAAATGTGGATGTAACAAATGGAAAACAAATGGAATAATAATTTGAGTCTCATCCATTGCAGGTGCAGAGTAGAGCACACACACACACACACACACACACAGGGAGGATCATTGGGAGAAGACACGGAGACGAGGACGGGCCTGACGAAAACTCTGTGTGTCTCTCTGTGTGTGTGTGGATTCTGGGAAGGGCAGTTTGCAGAGGCGGACAAAGTACTCAACTCCATTATTTGAGTGAAAGTACAGATACTGCTGGTCAAACATTACTCCATTACAAGTAAAAGTTGTAAAGACGTTGACTTAAGTAAAAGTACAGAAGTATTTGCTTTTAAAAGTACTTAAGTACCAAAGGCAAATTTCCTTTTTCATGTCAATGCACTGTTTTATTGTTGTACGTAATACTTGCAATACTTCTGAAGCAACTTAGAATACATTACACGTACAATATTTGTCTTTCAAATGTAGTGAAGTGTAAGTCATAAGTTTCCAGAAAAATAATACTCAAGTAAAGTACAGATACTCAAAAAGTGTACTTAAGTACAATACTCAAGTAAATGTACTTAGTTACTGTCCGGCTCTGGCAGTTTGTGACGGTGTAATCGATTTCTTTTGGCTGCATGTTTTTGTTTGGTCAGGGGCCTCTGAAGTAGAGCAAATGCAGTTGTTCATGTTGTTGGAGACTTGTATTATTGTCTGCTAATCAAATAACATATTCTTCCATTGATAAAAGCCTCACACTGGTTTTCATACTTAAAAGCCACATACGTGTCTTTACAAGTATAGATGAAAGTGAAAGTAATGTTACTAGCTTATATATACAGCTGCTCTGAGAAGACGGGACATTCCCTGAAAAGGTTTCAGGTAAGAGCTACACATTAGTTACTTAACATGCTGTGTGTCTTTTAATCTTTTAATTCTGGGTGCAGAAAATATAGAAAAGCGGCTCATGTTTTAGAGGTGTCACTAAAGTCATTTAATTTGTCAGCGAGACTGAGAGTTAATGTAAAAAGAATGACAACCCTTTATATTAATTTTCACTTATGTTTTTAATATTTACTGTATATTATTATCATAATTCTTCCTCGTTACTGTACTGTGCTACTATTGCTGTAATTTATTTTAAGTTTTAGTGTTTTGCTGGTGAGTTAGAATCTAGGAAGAGTCGATTTGTTTTTATTGTCATCGCTGTGCTAAAGGTTACTGTAGGCTGAAACGCCTTGCTGTTTTTTAGTGAATAATTGACTAACCAATATAAAATCATAATTTGCCTGATAAGAATCAGTGAAGAAGAGTCAGTGATAAGTGTCATTAAATAAAGCACTATATTAAAATATGATGTTGGCTGATGTTTTACTTTCATAATATGTTCTGTTTTTCTATCTCGTTTAATGTACAGAATCGTTCAGTAGCAGTTTGGATTAGAGGTAACAATGGAAAAATCTCCCACTTCTACGCTAATCAAATAACATATTCTTCCATTTATAATAGCCTCACACTGGTTTTCATACTTAAAAGCCACATACGTGTCTTTACAAGTATAGATGAAAGTGAAAGTAATGTTACTAGCTTATATATACAGCTGCTCTGACAAGACGGGACATTCCCTGAAAAGGTTTCAGGTAAGAGCTACACATTAGTTACTTAACATGCTGTGTGTCTTTTAATCTTTTAATTCCGGGTGCAGAAAATATAGAAAAGCGTCTCATGTTTTAGAGGTGACACTAAAGTCATTTAATTTGTCAGCGAGACTGAGAGTTAATGTAAAAAGAATGACAACCCTTTATATTAATTTTCACTTATGTTTTTAATATTTAATGTATATTATTATCATAATTCTTCCTCGTTACTGTACTGTGCTACTATTGCTGTAGTTTATTTTAAGTTTTAGTGTTTTGCTGGTGAGTTAGAATCTAGGAAGAGTCGATTTGTTTTTATTGTCATCGCTGTGCTAAAGGTTACTGTAGGCTGAAACGCCTTGCTGTTTTTTAGTGAATAATTGACTAACCAATATAAAATCATAATTTGCCTGATAAGAATCAGTGAAGAAGAGTCAGTGATAAGTGTCATTAAATAAAGCACTATATTAAAATATGATGTTGGCTGATGTTTTACTTTCATAATATGTTCTGTTTTTCTATCTCGTTTAATGTACAGAATCGTTCAGTAGCAGTTTGGATTAGAGGTAACAATGGAAAAATCTCCCACTTCTAATGGTAAATATATCATTGTAAAAGAAATTTAAATGACTAGATTTGCATAAACAGAATAGAGTAAAATATTTTTCCAACCTGCTAAGTCATTATTGTAATGTATGAGTAAAAGAGCTGTGCAAGTGTACAATACTAATACTAATATACACAATACAGTACAATACAAAATGCAAGATAATGTAAACTATGCAATATATGGCACAATACAAAGCTGTACAAAACACAATACTCAAAGTTGGATAGATGTGCTGTGAAATGTGAAATGTGGATGCATCGTTATAGTCTGTATAAAAGACTTTTGGGACAGTTGTCATAGAATAAGTGTTAATGCTGTTTTTTTTCATCTTTAGGCATTTTGAGAAGGAAAAATGACATGATGTTGAGGTTTAAAATGTATAATTTGTTATAATATTTTCTGTTTTCACAGTGAAGAGCATCTTTCGCAGATTTTCTTTATTTAGAAAAAGCGATGGGCACATTAAAAAGAAACAATCTATACGGTCATTAAAAACATTTATATCAGAGGATAAAGACGAGAAAGTTACCACAGAGAAATTTGAATTTAAGACCACAGAGATTCCTCTAAAGCCATGCTCAGGTAAATCTCTAGTTAGGTTGTGTTAGTAAATACAGCACATTTAATGCATAGGCTACTGCTCTCATATAATCAAACAACATTCTCTCTCATTCCTGCTTTGTTTTCTCAATAGTTTTGCAGATCAAAAATTATATACAAACAGACATGCTGAAGGAGGCATATCTGAACCTGCTTTCCCTGCGCCTGGAGTTCAAGTTAGAACAGAGCGCTCTGGGGGAAGGAGAATCTCACTCAAATCTGGTTAATAAAGAGAAAGACCTTAATCTGTTGTATGACGCACTAAGGGACAAAATGTCTGTCATTGTATGCCACTCCAGTGCTCTTCCCTCATGCAATAAAGAGCTGCTGGTGTATGTGGCCACCATTATCCTGGAGGAAGAGAAGAGACGGGGAGAGCCAGGAGCGATGCAGGGATGGAGGGAAGCATGGAAGGATGCGGTACTAAACGGGGTTCGGGATTCACTGAAGAAAGTTCCTCTGGACAGCCGCGACCAGAACGATTCCTGGCTGGCAGTGCATCTGGAGCACCTGGGTAAAGCTGTGGTGGAGGATTTGCAGAGAGTGGAGACTGAGCTTCTAAGCTCATATCCAGCAGACTTTAATGTGTTTGAAACCTATGTGTCCTGCCACCATGAAGCTGTAGGAGAGCATCTAAAGAGACTTCTGGAAAGCGTGACAGAGCTGAAAGCTTACTACGCTCTTCTAGATTTCATTATTCTTTCCTATCCCAGGTGAGGTTTTAAGAACAAAACACAGAAATACGATACAACGATACATCATTGCTTACTTCATGTTTCAATTCATTTGTATCTGTTTTGTGTTACACAGTGATCTGCAAGACCATCAGAGAGCTCTTATAATGGAAGAGGATCTGAACAAAATAAAAACCTCTTACTGTCATTGCCAAAAGGTGAGCTACTGCAAGGAAAGAGATTTTAGCAAATTCTATATTGATACAAAACATAAGTATTAGAACTTGTTTACATCAGATTGTTTTTACTGTGATTCCATATTTGATATCAGGAGGACTTTAAACTTGAACTGGAGAATTTCATCATACTTGAAACAGAAGCGTGGAAAAATAAGAAATCTCCTAAAATAACAGAAGATAAATTCCTCACATCAAAAATACACATGGACATTTGTCAGGTCAGGACTTAATCTTATCAGTTTAAACATTTTTATTAATTCTTTTATATTCTATAATAATTCAAATGTACTTTTTGTATTATTTATTTAATTTTCAAGCATTATAACTTCCTTGCAGAGTTCATGTATGACGTTTACCCATATCAGAATTCTGAAAAAAGTCTTATTGTCCTATTGATTTGTCTTGTTAGCTGATAGTGAGCTACGCTGGGAATCTTGAGAAGATCGATGAGAATCTGGGGAAGTCAGTTGTAAGCTCCTGTTTAGAGGAGCTAAATCCATTTTATACAAGGTTTGTGTCACAGTATTATAGATTAACATGAGATCACTTCTGCATCTTTCCTTCTCTGACAGTTTCCTTCTGTTTTAGATTTGAAAAAGAGTTTTCACAGCACACTGTCTCTCTGTTGACCTCTGACCTGTTGGACTGCTGTCTTTGGGTAGAATATCACATCTCCTACATCAACAGTTTCAGTTCACTCAAGTAAGTCCACTACGAGTAGAATGCTACCTTTGTGAAAAAGGAGTACACTTTGGCATACTTAGTTTGGAAATAATATACATTAAAAGAATATAGGTCCCACTTTATATTAGGTGGCCTTAACTACTATGTACTTACATTTTATTTAATAATTTGATACAAACATGTTTTTACATTGTACTTATATAAAAAAAAAATACATGCGTGTAATTACGTCTGTTATGAAGGTTGCACTTTGTTTTACAGTACATGTACTTACAGTGTGCCTACATAAGAAAATTATGGTAATACCTAGTAACTACATGGGGTAGGGTTAGGTTTAGGGGTAGGTTCAGGGTTAGTACCTAGTTATTATAATTACTATAATAAGTACATAGTGTGTACATGAGGAACCGGACTGTAAAATAAAGTGCTACCGTAATGAATTTCTGTAATTACATTTATAATTGCACCTTAACCCACCCTTAAACCTACCCATACCTCCAAACCGGTCCTTAACCTTACCCGTATCCCACCTCAATAGCAGCAAAAGTGCTTTGCAATACAATATAAACACAATAAATACCCTGTACTTATTTTTTTATATAAGTACATTGTAGTTAAGGCCACCTAATATAAAATGGGGCCAGAATATACGTACTTAAAGGCACAATATGTAATTATCGCCCCTAGAGGGTGCGTATTCAAAATAAACAAATAGACAAAGGCGTAGTTATGATGCCGTGACTGAGTGTGGAATCATGGGAGTTGTCGTCTTCATCCCCACAGCCAATGCAATCTGATGGGACTCGGGCAGAAATCATGTTCATGGATGAGCTAATGATTTATTAACGTACTAGAATGAAGCAGGATAAGGCTGAAAGCCGTCGAAGTGAAACACGGCTCGAAAGCAGCGGAGCTTTTATTATGCCACAGTCGATTACTTCCGCTCCTTCCGGTCGTGCGTATGTGGGGGAAAAAGCAACACTGTTTTATCATACTAGATATCCCACCTCAATAGCAGCAAAAGTGCTTTGCAATACAATATAAACACAATAAATACCCTGTACTTATTTTTTTATATAAGTACATTGTAGTTAAGGCCACCTAATATAAAGTGGGGCCAGAATATACGTACTTAAAGGCACAATATGTAATTATCGCCACTAGAGGGCGCGTATTCAAAATAAACAAATAGACAAAGGCGTAGTTATGATGCCGTGACTGAGTGTGGAATCATGGGAGTTGTCGTCTTCATCCCCACAGCCAATGCAATCTGATGGGACTCGGGCAGAAATCATGTTCATGGATGAGCTAATGATTTATTAACGTACTAGAATGAAGCAGGATAAGGCTGAAAGCCGTCGAAGTGAAACACGGCTCGAAAGCAGCGGAGCTTTTATTATGCCACAGTCGATTACTTCCGCTCCTTCCGGTCGTGCGTATGTGGGGGAAAAAGCAACACTGTTTTATCATACTAGATACATTTGAAAGTTCTGTTATAATGCTACTCTGTGCGGTCGTCACCGGTCTATTAAAACGCATAACATATTAAAGCATCTTTGGTGTTTCCATGTTTTCTACAAAACAAAACCGGAAATTGAGGGGTTATGACGTCATTGGCAGGCGACACAATGACACTATAGCCACGCACCGAGAAATAGTTTACTTCTCTGGATTTAAACATTCTTCGAAACATTTGGAATAATGTAAGTACACAAGTCAGCAAAATATATAACACTGTTCTAGTGGTTTTTGGATATTTTAATAAAATAATCTTACATATTGTGCCTTTTAGAGTGAACTGAATGTAATATTTTCAGACTCTTAAATGCATGTTATTTACATTTGAATGAAAATGTATTATAGTTTAAATACATACTACATTAGTTGAAGAACTCAAGAGCTTTTTTAAGTACATCTTTAGGTGTAATTTCATGAACACTTCTGCTGTCTTTGAAATGTGCTGTTATAATATGTTTAATCTCAGTCTTCGGAGTCCCTGTGTGTAAGTCCATTTTGTGACATGTATGTCAAAAGTTTTTATGTCATTGCTGTTGTTACAGAGAGAAAGAGAGAATTTATAAAGAGAGCTGTTCAGCTCAGGTGGAGAAGTTGGAAAAAGAAGTGGATGGACTGACTCAGAGACTCAGAGACTCAGAGATGGATCATTTCAAATCTGAGGTCAAGGTGGGCCTAACTGCAGATATATATAATGTTCTCAACTAACTTATTGTCTTAAAGGCTTAATTCTCCTCAAATGAAAACTTGCTGACAATGTACTTACCCTCTAGCTTTCCAAAATGTAGATGAGTTTGTTTCTTCATCAGAACAGATTTGGAGATTTGTTAATATATAGACTAGAATCATGTGGTTTACTTTTGGATTATTATGATGTTTTTATCAGCTGTTTGGACTCTAATTCTGATGGCACCCTTAAAGCTAAATTTCTCCAAATCTATTCCCATGAAGAAACTCATCTACATCTTGGATAATGTTTGGAGCTACATTTTTAGATCATTTTATTTTTTTAGATAAACTCTTCCTTAAAGTTCCTCCTAATCTGAAATTCTTCATAACTAGTCAAGAGCATTATAATGTTTAAATTATAACTAACTACAGTGTCATTTCTTCCCCAAAGCCTTACATGGATGGCATGATGACAAAAAAATGGCTGAAAACAGATGAAGATTTTAAAGAAGTGATTTCTAGATTAGAGAATTATTCTGGGCTCTGTAAATCCATGAGAGCTCCATCAGTCCAAGTGAGTCTCCACTGATCTGCTCAGAGATGCTTTTTAATAGCAGCTGCAGAGAGCCACTTTAAACACAGTGTCTATGTTTACAGATTTTTGTGAATGATATGCACTATTATGTAGCCAAAGAATATGTCTCCCAGCTGATGAAGAAAAAATATTCATGCAAAAAACCCAAAAACGAAGATGCTGCCATAAAATTGAAAGAACAGTGGAATGAACTCAGGAAACTATTTATGCAAATGGTAAGATACAGTCCAGTATCAAACAGTGTGAAATATACAACAGTTTTTTTTTCAAGGTAGATGCACTGAAAACATTATTCTGTATTTAGGGATCATCCTTAAAGTGGCTTTATCCATTGGGAAATTACCTTAGTGACATTATTGGAATGGATAATGAGAAAAATATAAAAGATCTGTTACATCCATTGGTTAGTAATTACCCAGACATAAGGTAAGTGTTATAATAACTTTGAATATATTACTATTTTAAAACAATACATTGTCTTGTTCACTTTACTAATACATGTAGTATAGCTATCATGGATTTTCACTTTTCATTTCTAGCAAGAAGCAGTTGTCAGCTGTTCTGTCCTTCAGAGACAAAGGTTTTAGCTTGGAGAAGCACAATGTTATTAATCACTTTACTGTGCTTAAACGGGATGCTGGGAACACAAATCATGAGCACTCCTTCTTCACTGACATTGAGGTACTTTTCACAATACATTGCACTGAATCCTAATGTAGTGAGTCAAAATATCATGTTTAATTTAAATAAATGTATAAAATAAACTAATGAATTGAAATAAATTTTAACTAAACAAGTGGCATGACTGATTCTGATCATATCACTGTACTACCTTACTTAAGTACACTTTATAAATGTATGTATTTTTAAGTACATAGGCTGACATGCATCCTCATTGAGTATCACACCTTTGTCTTTACAGTGAGTTTTCTTTTGGCAATTTTGATGCTTCAGGAACCATCATAGGGGGAAAAAATATTGCATCGTTTTTTTAAAAATGTGTACAGTACATTTTCTTGTTAGAATATACAGGCATTATTAGTGTATTTGGTGCATGATTACTTACATGTGGTGTCTATGTTCTGGTAAAAAATATCTGAAAAGACAGACATGTAGGCTGTGATCTTCACTGTGATATTCTGCTCAAATTAAAGAGCAATACAGCTTGTCTGTGTTCCTTCATGAGGCAACTTGTGCTATTTGCCTTTAACAATCCCTTATTTTAGAGCAATATAATCGTGATTATCAATTTAACCGTTGGTTGTTTGTACTTTTACTTACCAATAGAGGGAGACATTAAACTATAGACGCAATATTTGCATTTCCTCCATATTGCCTAATCATGCAAAAAGAGACTTGATGGATTCAGTCTGTTAATCTACTGTGATATCAATCATGTAAATGTGATGTATAAAACATTATGTCGGATCAAACCGAGTGTGTGCTGTGCAATATTAACTCCAGATGGACCAAGCTCTTGCAGCAAAACCGATTGGTTATTTACTGTAGATCTTGTCCTTCCCTCTTCTTGTTTGATGCAAATTTTAAACCTTTTTTTAGCCTAAACCTAATATACTCTCTGATTTTATCAGTGAGAAAAAAAACTTGGAGATAAAACCTGTAACTACAGTGTGTTATTGAACAAATATTTCCTTTCATATGGCGTCTGTACTGTCTAGTTTTGGGGATATTTCTAGAGATTTGGATGTGAAATGCCACATTTGTTTACATATTGATGTTTGATTTGGTCTTGTAGCCTACTATCTGTAATCTCTTACGGGATAAGCTTAAATTTATGTGAATGACAATTAAACATATTTTTATACCTTTCCACATGCAAATAGATTGTATGTGTTTGTCTGCGTGAGAGAGTGTGTTATTTCAGGACAGGCTGGCTTGTGTCCAGATGTCCTGAGGATTACAATCTTATCCACAGTCACTAGAATTAGATGTCATGAAATGGGTAGGAGGGGATTTTAAAGATATTTGTAGTTTGAAGATTGAATGCCATAGGTCTCTGGCTCGCCCACAAGTCCTCTTCAGTTAAAAATGACACTTTGCTCACCTCCTCTCACCTCCACATAAGCATCTCTATCACTTTTGCTTCCTACAAATCCATAATCCCACTTTTTCTTCAACTTGCCCTACTTAACGTGATCACAGGTCTGAATATTTGCCTTTTTT